CAGCTCTGCGAGGCGCTCAACATGAAGTTCAAGGCGGAGGTGCAGAGCAGCCGCGGGCTGACCAAGGAGAACTTGGTGTTCCTGGCGCAGAAGCTCTTCAACAGCAGCAGCTCTCACCTGGAGGACTACAGCAGCACCACCGTGTCCTGGTCCCAGTTCAACCGGGTGAGCGGGATGGGCTCTGAGCCGGGCGAGCCGTGGAGCCCCGGCGTCCCGCCGTGGGGCTGGGATGAGCTTTGCTACACCCGCGGCGCCAGTGCTCGTGCCGCAGGGCTGGATGGGGCACGTGCCTCCCAAGGAGCCGTTTCTTGCTGGAGTGAGGCAAAAACGAGATGGCTGTTGGCTGCAGTGGGGTGGGAGGTGCCGCCTTCCTTGCTTGGAGGGACACAGGGTGCCGTAGGGTCTGCAGACGGGGTCTTTGTCCTTGGGGAGGCATTGCTGGCTCTCCCCGGGGCTGTGCGACTTGGCCGGGTTGACCCGCGCCTGCTTTGGCAGCACGGGTGGGCGTCCTGCAGTCGCGGTCCCTGAGACTCTGCTGCTGCTCCAAACGCTTGTGCTGCAGCTCTGAGGGTGGAGGTGGGCGTGCTCATTTTCTGGGGGTTTCGACAGGAAAACCTGCCCGGGAGGAATTACACCTTCTGGCAGTGGTTCGACGGGGTCATGGAGGTGCTGAAGAAGCATCTGAAGCCTCACTGGAATGACGGGTAAGAGCCGCCTTGCCCCGCGCTGCCTGGCCCCAAGCCCCCCGGCCCTGACACCCCCTGCTCTGCCTAGGGCCATCCTGGGCTTCGTCAACAAGCAGCAGGCACACGACCTGCTCATCAACAAGCCCGACGGGACCTTTTTTTTTCAGCGACTCGGAGATTGGTGGCATCACCATCGCCTGGAAGTTCGACTCCTGTAAGTGCGAGCCAGAAGCCAGCGCCCCCCGGCCCCGCTGTCCCTGGCCCCAGCCTGGGACTTGGCCGTCTCGTGCCCGCAGGGCTGGTGCTGCTGCTCCGGCACCTCCTATCTCGGCTGAGCACCGGCACTGCCACGGCCGGGCACACG